ACCTGGTCTCTGACCTCACTGAACAAGAAGACGTGGTCAGATTAAGGGTGTATTGAAATCTTTCCCAGCTGCGGTTGGGGCCTGCAGAAACTTGAGGAAGTTTGGAATGTTCAAAGTCCAAACTCTGCCCCAACCGTAGCCTCTGCCCCGCTGGCCCAGTCCCTGCCCAGGCTACCTACCTGTGCCTCGCTTCTGCAGCTGCTAAGGCCCTCACACCCGTCCCAGCCCAGCCTCAGCGGCTGCCGTCTAGACTTAACCAACCCTCTGTCTTTTGGAGATCTCAACTGACCATGAGCACAAGTTTCTATGTGTTCTTTCTGCCATAGCCCAGAAAAAGCTTTCAGATTCTCAATGTCAAGTCTGCATGACATAAGGTAACATAGTGTAAAGAGAAGATCAGACTGGAAAGAAAGCATAAATAGTAATTAATAGATAATAATATAACCCCCACCCTGCCCTTTGCTATGTGACCTTGAGCAAGATATTTCCCTTTTCTGGGCCAGTTTTCCCCCAAAAGGGGTTGAAGCTGGAACGACACACTCCTTCCCCCTCTATTGGCCGATGAGAGGCAACTTGGCATTGTGAAGGGAGGAGAGGCTCGGAAGGCCATGGCTAGTGTCCTGTCTTGGATCTGTCACCAATACCTGAGCCTTCATTTCCTCACATGTTGGGCGGGAGGGGCACAGCATGCCTTCTTCTTGGGACGATAGAGGGGCTTTCATGAAATAATGTGTGTAAAATGCTCTGCATAAGCGCATTTCTCCAAGGAGCAGCTGAAGTCTCTTGTGCTCAGCCAGATCTTCTGTGTACCCCTATCCCCCATACCTATGGACCTTGCCCAAGATGGCTGAGCAAAGGGGTTTTTTTTTCTTTTTTGAGTCAGAGTCTCACTCTTACCCAGGCTGGAGTGCAGTGGCAAGCTCACAGCCACTGCAGCCTCAACCTGCTGGGCTAAGTTGATCCTTCCGCCTCAGCCTTCCAAGTAACTGGAACTATAGGCATGCACCACCACACCTGGCTAATTTTTTGATTTATCGTAGAGATAAGGTCTTGCCAAGTTGCCCAGGCTAGTCTTGATGCCATGGGCTCAAGCAGTCCTCTCATCTTGGCCTCCCAAAGTGCTGGGATTATAGGTGTGAGCCACCTCACTCAGCCTGCAAAGGGGTTCTTCTTTTCTTTTTTTAAGTTGGAGTCTCTCTGTCACCCAGGCTAGAGTGCAGTGGCATGTTCACAAACACCACAGCCTCAACCTGCTGGGCTCAGGTGATCCTTCGGCCTCAGCCTTCCAAATAGCTGGGACTACAGGTACATGCCATCCCATGCCTGGCTAGTTTTTTGATTTATGGTAGAGATGAGGTCTTGCCAAACTGGTCTCGAGCCCCTGGGCTCAGGCAGTCCTATTGCTATGGCCTCCCAAAGTGCTGGGATTACAGGTATGAGCCACCATGCCCAGCCAGGAGTCTACTTTTCTTTCTGGGCTGCTAGAGATGGCAATAGGCCTATCGAGAGCCCAGAAAGTCTTAAGGTAATGGGCCTCTGAGAGGCAGATAGTTGCAGACAGAGTTCTGGGTCTTCCCCTTGAGGATGCTCTGTCTTTCCTAGGGGTGGTTCACCTCCTCATCTCCCCAAACTCCACCCCTTGGTGCATTGGGAGAGCCAGCTGGACCAGCTGGGCTTTGCTGCAGCCAGCTGTGTAGCCAGATGTGAACAGCTGCCTGAGTGCACAGCTCAAGGGAGCCAGCAAGTTAAGCTGCAGCCTCCTATTCTGTTAGCCTCAAAGTCTCTTTGGAAAAGAGCGGTGGCTCATGGACCGGAACAAGCTCTTAGCCTGGCGTTCAGAGAAGGTTTTCAGGAGAAACAGAGACCCCTGAAGTGTGCAAAAAATCATGTGTTGTCCTGCGGGTGGACGGAGGGTAGAGAGCACAGCCTTCATGTTCTCAAAGAAATCCTCAGACCTGGTTAGAAAGCCAGGGGAGGACCCTCTTTGCTGCTGCATCACCATATCTGGACTGAGTTTCCCTGTACAGCGTGGGAAGCTCACTCCAACTCAGGGCCCATCTCCTGTCTCTGGAAGTGAGGGGTGAGGGTCAGGCGGAGGACCAAGGTTCTTCAGGCTTCTTGGCGAGATGCATGAGGCTCCTTGGAGGAAGAGGGACTGTTCTCTGGGAAGTGGATGCTGACTCTCCCTTCTCCCCAGCTCCGTCGGTCCCTCCTGGGAATTCGGGTGTCTCGGTTTGGCCTGACTTCATGGGCTGTGGGAGATACCTCTGGGCACTCTCTCCTTTTTACCTTGAAAAATAAGGGTGTCTGGGAAGCCTTGAGCAGGAATGGAGGCAGCTCTTAGAAATGAGGTCATGCCCGAGGTAGGCTGGAGCCAGGTTCACCTGCCGTGCCCTCCTAAGCCACGTTTCCCTGGGCACGGCGGGTGCCTGTCAGCCTCTGAGGCTCGTGCCAGCAGAAACGGGCACAGCAGCTACAGCTGCAGGCAGAAGGCCCGCACATGGAGTACCCTTCTCTGGCCCTCTCCGATGACCAGTCCAAAGGGCTGTCAACTGGGCGGGAAGTAGGGGCATCCTGATCTTGTTGAAAATCAGCAAAAGGGTCTTGGTCAGAACTAAACGAAGGAGGAAGAGGATGTCCTTTACAGTAAGAGGGACCCTGACCATCACATTATTGAGGACATGTGGCTCGGAGTGACTGTGGCCAGCCAGGGTCCCGCAGGTAGAGTCCTGGTAAGTGGGTGCTCACCTCGCACCCAACTCGGTCCTTCATCTCCCAGGGACCAGGAAGGCAGCAGAGGGTCCTTGGTCCGTGTGTCGGGGCCTCTGCCCATGTCTGCTTCTGTGACGGGGTATCCCTCGCTCCCTGCAGTCCTGAGAGTGGAGCATGTATGTCTGGTGCTCTCCCAAGGCCAGGCATGGCCCGAGTCTTCTCTGACTCACCCACTTCCTCCCCAGACCCACACCAGGTACTCACCCTTCATGGGAACCAGCCGAGGGAACTGCAAGAAGGAAAGGGCAGAGAGGGCCCTGGGCGCTCAGTGCTGGCTGGCGCTCCTTCCTGGGAGGCTGTCTGCCGGAAGAGGCACAGCCCTGCTGACCCTGGCTCATCCAGCTCTGGTTTAGGGACTCCTTGATGTCAATTGTCACCTCCTGCCCACATTCTTCAGTGCCGGCTCCTGACGTCTCGATTTCTGAGTTCTAGATAGATACTTTGCACACACCCCGCCCCTGCCATTTTTCTTTCTTTTTTTTTTCAAGTTAGAGTCTCACTCTGTCACCCAGGCTGGAGTGCAGTGGCACGGTGCTCACAGTCACCGCAGCCTCCACCTGCTGGGCTCAGGTGATCCTTCCGCTTCAACCTTCCAAGTAGCTGAAACTACAGGCACGAGCCACCATGCCCGGCTAATTTTTTGATTTATTGTAGAGACGAGGCCTTGCCCAGTTGCCCAGGCTGGTCTTGAGCCCCTGGGCTCAGGCAGTCCTCTCGCCTCAGCCTCCCAAAGTGCTGGGATGACAGGTGTGAGCCACTGCACCTGGCCATTTTTCTTTTCTTGTCATTTTTTTCTTTTAGCAACAGGGTTTCACTTTGTCCCCCAGGCTGGAGTGCAGTGGCATGAGCATAACTCACTGCAGCCTTGAACTCCTGGCTCAAGCGATCCTCCCACCTCAGCCTTCTGAGTAGC